ATCGTGAAAAGTGCTGTACAAATAAACTTGAATTGAATTGAATTTATGTCATAATGATAATTCCCCCCATTTTAATTCTAATTTTCCAATGAAAGGTTAGATTTATATGATGTGAATAAAAAAAAAAAAATCAAAATGATTAACAATGCAGATTTATTTTCACAGCCGCCTTTGATCATTTTTACCAAGGGTGCCAATAATTCTGACCACAACTGTATGTACGGACCAGGCCCAAAGGTTTGGCACACATGTGATTCGTGGATAAATTGTTAAGTTTAACCATCATAGAGTGAAAGTTTATAATTTGCACAAGTTCTGCCTTGCCAATTTACAGATTAAAGCATTTTAACTCGCGCGCTGTTTTCTTGCCTGGCGCAAAGCGCAGAGCTGGCGTACGCGCTAAGCGCTTGTCATATAACAACTATTCATTGTTTTCTACCATATAATAATAATACAGATCTATTGTGGCTGCGTTGTGTCACATGAACAGCATGACGCTTCGCCATGGAAACAATAAGGTGATGCATTCTAAAATAACGGTTGCCTAAAAAAAACTCGTGCTGGGGGCTCAGCTAGAATATTTTAAACTCACGTGCGAAAGGGTTAAATGCTCTAACATGAAGATAAACATGGCGGTGTCTCGGGCTCACTCAGGACGGGGTCTCAGCAAATACGGTGGTGTCAATCAGCGTCAGTGGGCGTGGCCTAAACAATGTGACATCACAATGCTCAGAGAATCAAAATGGCATGTCTAATAAGACTGATTTGGTTCATTGGGGATTAAAAAATAAGAAGTGGGTGGATTTTTATCATTGTAGGGTGGTTGTTCACACACTGCCAACACACATTTATGTCCAAACACCAGGAAAAAGTGGATTTTGAATAATAGGTGCCCTTTAAGTGAACGTAAACAGCTGAGAAAGAAACCGGATGTGTGTCAGTATTAGGTCCGTGCATTTGGTCTTAAAGAGACAGCAGCCAATAAATACCTGTTTCTGTCTGCTAATCAAATAACACCACAGCTCTAACAAAGATTAATCTGTATTTAACTTGTGCAGTGAGCACTATTGTGTTATTTTACACTTAATTACATTTCTGCACCTGAATACTAGTTACTGACTTTATGTTGTATTCATCTATGCTTGTCATTTGTGTAATTGTTCTTGTTTTATTACTAACTTTATTAGTTAAGCTAGTAGTTTTTGCTGTGGTATAGAAGTACTTAAAGTAAGCTTTTAGATTTTTTTTTTGCTGATG